AGGGATCCAATAATCGTCGCGTACTTTACTCATGGTTAACCCAACCCCGCCGTGCAGAGTGTAAAGATGTGCACGTTCGACAATCTTCAGAGATAGGAGGTGATTTGATGGCAAGTAAATTGGATAAAACCCTTGAATTCTCCCCTTACACACGTAAATGCCTTCTTCATTTTTCTGGAGATTCAATCGTTGAGAATGTTCCTTGAACTGAACAGAATTTTCACCGTCCTCTTGAGCTCGTTTAATCAGAAATTTCAATTGTTCCTCAGTCTCTTCAGTCGTTAGTGGTCCGCTAATTCTTTTACTTCTTCGACAATTGACGGCAAATCTTTTGATCCATGCTAAAATCCGCACAGTTTTCCATAGGGTTGTTTTCGCTAAAAGGTCGTCAAAGACATCTGATTTTCGTTGAACAGCAGCTTTCATCACGGTCTTGATTGTGCGACTTTCGGACTCCGACACATCAGAAGGTTTAGCAACAATCTGTTCCGGCCAGCTGTCGGAATTGTTCAGCCATGAAGGACCGCTCATCCACATTTCGTTAGTTTCTAAGTCACTTGATCCCCGACTACCGATATCCGCAGGATTCTCTTTACTAGGCACGTATTTCCAAACGATTTCTTCCTTCTCGTTTATTTTCTCACCCCGATTGGCCACGAATTGTTTATATCTTCCCTGACCTTGGATCCATTGAAGGCAGACAGTTGAATCAGACCATGCGAATACACCGGCAATTTGTATATGACTAAGAACTTTGAATGTGTTGTGTAGGAGGTTACTTAGCATGTGGCAACTCACTAACTCCAGGCGCGGAATAGTCAAGTCCCGTTTGGCCAATCTTGTTTTCGAAATCAGGAACCCTTGACTAATCACTCCAGCTTGCTTGATAATAGCGTAGATCACAGCGCAACAACCAAGAAGGCTCGCATCTGCGAATCCATGAAGAATCAATTCGACAATCACACCGATTTCTCTAGGTATTGCTCTTGGCATCTTCAACTGGACAGGTAAATTCTTCAACCATTTCTCCCATCGCCGCTTTAGTTCGTCAGGTAGATCTGCATCCCATCCCAACTTAGAATCACAGACATCTCGAAAGATCACTTTGGCCGTGAGTAGAATAGGAGCTGCTAATCCCAGCGGATCATAGATTTTCGCCATAGTTCTCAGGACGATTCTTTTCGTAACTTCATTTTCGTTTGGTGGAAATGTCACTGACAAAGTGTCTTCTGATTTGTTCCAGCCTAATCCAAGAAGTTTGGTCTCCGATGGTGTTGTCCCTAGACTTTCCTTCGCATAGGTAGTTTCTCCATCTTCCTTTACATCACTTTCTAATTCTGCGGCGTTCGAATGCCATTTATGTAACATGAACCCACCTTCTCCCAGGATTTTTACAGCATCTTCTTTAATTTCTCTCGTTTCTTCCACTGTGTCGCTTGCAATGTTTATATCGTCCACGTATGTACCATCTTTAAGTTCTCGAACACAAATCGGATGATCTTGTGAGTACTTGTGAGTAGGTGAACGTTCAATGTCCCTCCAAGAATGAATGGACTTGGACCCAGACCAAACATAAGTCTTGTCATGCGGTAGATCTTCTCTTCTCTGGTGTGCAAGTTATTTATCCACAGGAACCTCAAGGCGTCACGTTCGGTTTCTCTGATAACAATCTGAAGAAACGCTTGCTTTATATCTCCAGCTAATAGCACAGGTTTAACTCGGTTTCGCAAAAGGATATCTAACAACTTTCGTTGAAGTGGAGGGCCAATCTCTAGACAGTCATTCAGTGACGGACTATCTTCGTTAACCTTTGCGGAGGCGTCGTAGACGATACGAACTTTTGTTGATTCAGCTTGTTCCCGAACGACAGGTTTATGTGGGATGTAGTGTTCGTGCTTCTCGTTTGGTTCTGTTGGTGCAATCTCTACAATTCCCTGTTCCACTTGGTCTTCGATAATTTGATGGTATGTCTCAAGTAAGGCAGGTTGTTTATCCAGTCGCTTCAGTAGTGACTGAAATCTCGGTCGTGCAACGTTGATGTTGGTTGGTAATTTGGGATGGCTAGCTTTCCATGGTAGTGCTGTCTCGTATTTTCCATCTTCTCTCCAAGTTAACTGTTCTTTGAACTCCTCAAGCACGGTTGTTTGATCACCTTCAGGTCGATCCTTGAGCCCCAGAACATCTAAACTACAAAGTTCCATGTAGTCTTCGTGTGTGCTTCTCGTTAACATTAAATATGAGTGATTCATTTCCCGTCCCTGCGACATGATTGTCCACCCGAGTCTCGTTCTCTCAGCCACAGGTTTTCCATCATCTCCAACTTTAGCAGGTGTGGTTGTTTTGACTCGTGAATAATCACTAGCACCCAGTATCATGTGAACTGGCAACATTGGCTTCGTGTCAACATCGTCCATCTCTATGCCTTCAAGGTGTGAATTACTGGCAATAACTTCTCTATAACGGGGATTTTGCAAGGTCAGTAGCACTGGTCGATCAACACAATTCACTTCAGACGACATGCTAAAGTTTTTATTAATGTTTGTGATTTCAACATTGTAAACATCAATCGTCTTCGTAGTTGTATGCAACATCATCTCTATGGTTTTGATCTCTTGTCTAATTGGCTTCTTTTTTGTTAAGTTCATCAACGTAGAAGATACATAAGAATTTCCTGAACCAGTGTCCAGTAACGCTCGACATTTAACTCCTTCTACTTCAACAACTACTACAGGATATATCACGTTGGATTGGTTCGGTTGGCACATTGTAGGGCTTGGTTCAGCTTTGTCACAAATGGATGTATGATGTTTACGTTGGCACTTGTAACACTGGGTATTACTTTTGCACTCTCTTGCTCTATGTTTTTCTCCCGTACAGTTAAAACACCGTCTCTTTATGCTTAGTATTCTCTTTCGCTGTCCGACATCGACAACTTTGGTACATTCCACTGATCTATGGTCGTCATTTTCACAATATACACATTGACGTTGCTTTACGTGATCTCTTGTTGCAAATTGATTGTCTCTTTGCTTAAATTTTGGATGTTGTCCGCCATCTTTATCTCCAGGTTGTAGGGGATTGCGCTCGACCCATTGACGTAAAGCTTCGACAAGTTCCGTAAAGGTCCATTTCTTCCAGTCTTTTTCTGTTCTAATTAGATCAGCTCGGATACCCACTAATTTGTCCAAGGTCATTCGCACATTACCGGCAACCTGTTCCAATTTCCCCAGTGTTTCCAACGCTTGAACATGTCCCAAAAGGTTATCGTAAAAATTGTGTATCTTGGGTCTTGAAATTCCAGTAATAATTGGCAATGACATTATTTCCTGAATATGGGCATTCACCACTTCACTAGAGTCACCATATCTTTGTTCTAAGAATTCCTTGGCTTTCTTATACCCTACACCGTCAGCTGGTAATTTCTCAATTGTTGCACGTACCTTGGGTATGACAAGTTCCTTCAAATACGAAAATTTAGCTTCATCTGGAATGGATGTTTGGTCAATTTGAGTTGAGAAAAGACTCCAAAATCTTACCCAGTCAAGATATGTTCCTTGGAACTTGGATATTTACAAATCTGGTAATTTCGGTTTCACGCGTTTCTTTTCTGCTATTTCCAATTTCTTTTCCTCAAGTTGTAAAGCGAATTTTTCCTCACGAATTCTTTTATTGTTCTCAGCTTCCTGTTCTTCTTGCCTCATCCAGTCTCGAATAATAGATTCCTCGTTTAGCTTGTCGTTACGAGCCTTTTCCTTGCGTATACTTTCGTCATGTTTTAGCCTTTCGTCGAGCTTTTCGACCGCATTTTCATAGGGTTGCACTTGTAGTTTCCTTTCCTGAGTCCATTGATCGATTGCTTCGTCGCTCTCGTCGGAATCTAACTTTAAACCTTGTATAGTTTGTATTAAAACGTACGCTTCGTCCAGTTTGGTTTTAAGCAAAGTATATTGTCTGTTTATTTTGTCACTTCCGTACTCACTTTCTAGAGCATCAGCCGTAGATCGGTTAAAATAAGCGAGCTTTCTCAACAACGATTTGAAATTGGCTTCTGTTGACTCGATGTCGTTTTGTGCGATGGTTTGTTCTCGTTGTGCTTCGACGTCATTTCGCGATTGCCGTGTTAACATCTCGATCTCTGTATATTTGTTTACATATACCGCGTAATTTTGCTCTAACTCGATTGTTGTGTAAAATATCCCGTTTTACGTTTGTCACTATATCCCGTTTATTAAGTTAATCCCGTCTGGAGGTGCCCTTTGTGGTAGATTTTCGTTCGATCCCCACAATAAGAGCAAAATTACGCGTTTTATCTTGTGTTTTGTATTATAATCCCTTCCCAAATCGCTCCCAGTTACATTTATTCCCATGCAATAACAAATTCACAACATTCCTTTTATCTCATGCCTGTCACTCAATTCCATATATGGCCATCACCTCATCTCTAAATTTAACTACTAATTATTAATGTCAACCTTTTTCCCGACACTGTTTCAGATCGAATGCACACGGACAGCCCACCAGAAACAATGACAGGGTACTGAAATAGAACGTCACTAAAAAATTCTGTATTATACAATTTAGATCATGTCCAATTTCAACATAAAACAGTCATTTATTTTGTACAAACATTTGGCAATATCTACACGATTGTGCCTTTTTGTAAACACGCGTTGCGTGTATTCCACGTAATTGCGTGGCTCATTTTGCTCGCGCATGCTCAGACAAATTTCCCACCTGTTCACTATCTATGTTTTTGTTCAGATTTATGCAAAAATGTGGTCTTTCATCGTCACGTGCGTATTGTAGTTTTGCTCAACCAGCCAATAGCAACGGTTTTGTCCAATTGCTCATCCATGACTTTAGCAATAGGACATTTTGAACATTCCTATTGGTTGACTTGAGAAAAATACAATACGCACGTGACGATGAAGGACTACATTTTTGCATAAACCTGAACAACATAGATCATTAGGTTTATTGTGATTTTATTGTAATGCTAACGAGCTTCCAAACCATCTCCTCTATTAACTATGCTCGATCGAAGTAACACTTCAAGGCTTTTTGTAGATGGAAATTTCGAGCGGAGGATTATATGCAATTTTTAGACCAGTCCAAGATCAGATACAACCTCGCACCCAGGAGGAGGCGCATAGTGGAAAGAGCCTGGGTACGAGGTTGGATTAGATATCATTTTTAGAGCAGCTCCTGGTTAGGTCTAAAATTGTATATAATCTTCCGCTCGACATATCCATCTACAAAACCCTTTGTATCCATCTACAAAACCCTTCAACTGTCAGCATGTAATATAAAGTGCGAGTATTAAAACAGTAGAGAAAATAATTGTAAATAATCTTCCACCTGCCAAGTTTCAATACACTGTTATTACTAATATTCTAATTGTGCAAAATTGCAATTTAGCTTGGTAAAATAATTAGAAATGTTTTACAAAATTAAAGAATTCAGATTGATTATTTTCGACCAGGTTCGACAAAGTTGAATTTTAAAAATTCAGTATCGATTCGCAGGACTCTTTACCAGCTTTTCTTCCACCAATTTCAGAACATTTTCATTTCTCTGCATGGGCTTTGGCCTCACTTTTGCTCATTTTCCCTTCAAAAAACTTCAATGTTAACGATAACAAACCATCAGTGTAAGAGTAGCAGGTGGTTATTCTTTTTAAGAGCCTTGAAATATCTGTAACCCAATTTCTATAAGTTCAAATATTGGTATCGTCACCTTAAGTGATCTCGAAGACAAATGGTTCACTGTTTCGATCAGTCAAATATCAGTGGATTGAAACGATGGGATAATTATTTCATCGAGTATAAAAATCCGAAACATCTATCAGTGCTAACGTACCACAAAACATAGTGTGTGTTCGGAGGGGGCTTTTTTCGGATACCCTGTATATCATGTGACGATATTATTTAGGGTGTTGATGGTGATGTTAATGATAATCACGAGGATGATGAAGACGAATATGAAGATGATGATGAAGATGTTCCAGGTCAGATATAATTACTACATACACTCACTACAGTCGTTTGTGTTCGGGGATAAACACACGCCAGAAGTTACATGGTTTGGTTTGAATATTCTCACTCCAAGTATTTCATACCGAACGTTTTGTTCGAATAAAATATTCGGACAGTTTGGTTTGAACACATTCATACCAAAAGTTTGGATTGAACATTTTCATTCTAAAACTTTGATTTGAATATTTTAATTTCAAGAGCAGCACTTTGGAGTTTTGTAGATTCTGTATATCCTCGATACCTTTTTTGTACATAAATTATTAGATCATCATGCATTCAAACTACTATGTTCTGTGTATTCTATTTTAGACGAATTAAAGTTGGATTACGTCGACGAGAAAACAGGAGAACCATCACCACGGTAGGGTAATTTGAACTGGATTATTTTCCCTTCTTGAATTCATACACATATTTGGCAGTTAATTCCTATAATACATGCATACAATATACTTTACTGTTTATTGCACTATTTCCCCAATGTCCTCGTTTGCATGTTAACATGGCAGGCGCACATGAAGGAAAACGATGAAAACGAGACCATTAGAGCAAGAGAGCAGCAAACAATACAGACTATTAAAGTTGTTTTCACACCATTGTCATACGTGCGCACGACAAACTATGTACTATAACAATTGTATTGTATAGCTTCATGCAATTAACTTATTTCTTCCAGACCTAACTCCCACGCGAAACTTGGAAAAAAGTTAAGCAGAAACCATGGACCAATTGTTACCAACACTACTTTGAATGTTTTACGATTGTTTGGTAAGAAAAAAAATATTTGGGAAACGGGAGAAGTGGGAGAAATGTTTTAAACGGGAACACTTTTTACTTCAATTGAAGTAAAAAGTGTTCCCGTTTGCGCGCGTGTATCCTATATTAGTATATAAGATTAATGAATAATTGGCCAGCAGGTGATTCATCAATCTGTATTGCCATCATTCACTTAATTTTATGTGATAATTTGATATTGGGCTAGGCGCGAGCATATGAATTACGTGGCCAATGTAATAAAAGTGTTGATGTGACAACACCACGCAAATTTATTATTTGCAGTTATATATTATTTTGGTCGCCATTATTTTGGTCGCGACAAAATGGAAACCAGGCTGAGACGTGATTTTTTCATAACGTGACTACATGAATTATGACCAGAGTCTTTTTGTGTAACTGTGATGTATCCAAACTGTAAAGAAAGTGTTTGCCCTGACATTTGAATTTTTTTAATTTCAGGAAAGTACATGCAAATGATGAATGTTTTGAAACCTATCGCGTTTGATGTTGTTATTTGTGTTTCGCAGCTTTTTGACTATTATCTCTTTGCTGTAAGTACGTGAATCCTGATATTGCATTTGAGACATGAAATATAAAATTGTTTTACTTTCGCCATAATTGTGTTACTATGTAATGAATACCGGATTGGTACGCGTGTGCTTTCGAAGAGCTGGTATACATCTATAGAAAGTGTAAAAATTGTATATCGATTTGCAACTGGTGTATTAGAACGCTTTAAACAACCATCTTTAAGCCTGGTTCACATATACCTGCGGCATGCCTGCGACTATATCATTATGCCTCTACTTGCCGCCGAAATACCGGCAAAGTTGAACTCAACTCAACTTTCCCGGCCTACCGCCGATGTAACTGTGGCACTGGAGGCAATCGGCGAACAAATGTTCACATAATTTACGTTTTAAAGCTACTACCGGCATCGTCGCAGGTACGTCGCAGGCACGTCGCAGGCACATATGTGAACCAGGCTTTATTTAGTGCACGCGTAAAAATCTCACAGCTTGTCAACAACATGTGTTCGCACTGCTTGTTCTCAGGTGTCGACAAGTGTGGAACAAGTTGTTATCATTGTTGTTATCAGTTTCAAGGTTGATGAGACGAACAGGCTCGAAACAAGTTGTTTGAACAAGTTTGATATTGTCTGCACGTTGTTAACAAGGTGATGACAACAATCTCGTAACAACTTGGCTCATGGAACAACTTGTAGCAAGTCTGTTACCATTAGGAAGTTTAAGCTTCACGTTTCCGGGAACGGAAAACGACAGGTTCGAATTTTCTTCGCAAAACTTTCGTTGAACGTTTTCGTTTCATATTTTATTTCTTGCGTCAAAAGAATAATTATGTATTTCAGTTTTTTATGTGTGTTAAATATTTCCGCGCAAAGGACAAGATATCTGTTTTCTTGGGCTAAGAACCGAAATTTGGCATTAAAAAATGAGATAAAGTCCCTGGAAAGCAATAGCAACGTACTCGTCCGGAAAAATTTGTTATTCCAGAAAACATTTTTACCCCTAAAATGGTACACTGACCGAAAATTTTTTGGCGACGGGGGGGAGGTTGTTCTCCGGAAAAAAAATTTTCCAGAAAAATTTTTTTGATAGGGGGGGCCAAAAAATTTTTCATTGCCTGGCGTTTGCCGTTTCATTGCCGTATACCGCGAAGCCTAAACTCCCTATTATCAATACCTTGTAACAAGGTGCATGACAACAAACACAACAACTGGAAACAAGCAGTGCGAACAAATCCTCGGTGTTAGCAATAGGATTTTAGATTTTTGGAGTGTTTCTAAATTTCCAGGGTGTGTACCTGCATGCCAATTACCCATGAGAATAGCTAAATGCACGGTTCCAGTTATGCTCAGAAACATTAGACTATGCCTGTGGTTATTCTGATGCGACCAAATGCAAGACCTACATATATGCTCATATTCCATTATGAGGACTCTTATTCTATTTCGTCACCAATATACAGTTGCCATTACACGCCTGTATCCATCTAAACATAAAAACCTCAACGATCACTTTATCAATTTTCACAAACTAAATTGCACAAATTTATAAATATAGGAGCAAATTCTGTCTGTTATAAGTAGCAACACTCTATTTATAAGCCTATACGGCTTTGTATAAATATCAAGCCATGCCATATTTTTCCCTTTCTTGCATGTCATGCTAACATCTTGTCGTGCTAACACGACCTTTTAGCTAAGACCCTGATCATGTGTACAGTCAATAGACACTGAATTATCTTGAATTGTTTACTCTCACGCAGGTTCAAAGATTTTTCTGTCCTAATGTTATGGTAAGTTGTGGTTTATTTGTGAATTACTTGTCAATATTTTTCAAAGGTGGGCGCTCTCATATAACTAATTTCATAAATTATACGGAGATTTTTGTAAGTACTGTCAATATAGAAATGTTAAAGATTACAGCATGTGAGGTGTTCGTCCCCCTGTGAAGGATTTGCGCAAAGGATTTAGCGAAACTTGTGTGCTTTTAATAAATATAGATATAGTGTTTTAAATTATTAGAGTTAAAACATGATCTAATAAATTCAATATCCTTTATTTAAAGGTTTATGGCAATGAAAGTTAAACTTGTCTCATTTGATAGAACTTTCAAACTTCTATATTTTTACCGACTTTTGTTATTATTAAACAAACGGTTTCATATCTTCTTGAAAACAATGTGCTGTCTGCCATCTTGGATTATAGTTTTTGATCTTATTAACGATGGTTTTAGTGACGTCAAAAGCAGGGTTAGCATGCATATAAAACCACTTCCGGGTTTCCAAATAACATTTAGTAGATGGTTAAAATGTTGTCAGTCAATTTGGTATTTGAAGTAGTGACCGAAGCACAGACCGAAGTATAATTTTGGGCTCATAATGACCATTGCATATCTGTGTAAAATATATGCGCAGCTGTGCTTGTGACGTATCCACAATAATTCAAGATGGCAGACAGCTAAACCTATTTGTGACGATTTCAATTTTCAGTCAAAATATTTCGACAGCTAAACAACAATGAAGAATCTGTAAAAAGGGTTTTACTGTTTATAAAATAGAGATTTTTAATTTCTGCGTTTTGACTGGAATGCAGAATGAATCTTATTAAGGTACAGTAATGTATAGGCACTATATAAATATCATCACTATCGTTATGTTTTTGATATTTGGTGTTTTAGGATGAATCAAAGACGCCAGATCTCAGCACCAAGTTGTTTACATCTCTTAAACGTATTAAGGAAAACTTAATTATAGACGTAAGTGCAGCACTCCCTGTTATTTGGGTTCCACCTTGGTGTTGATACCCGACACTCAAGTTAAATATAAATTTAAACCGATGATTTACTCTATATATTCTATATATTGAAATGAAATGAAAAATATTATATAATTTAACTACATAACTTGAATTTATTTAGGACTACTCATCATCTGACGCCACAGCTGGTGATGATATGAGGGTATGTAATGCACCTTTTCGAGGTTCGTGACGTTACCTTGCCAAGTGGGGAAAACGCAATAGAGCAACAATACCATGACCCAAGGGACAAGTTTCTATTGGGATGAAGCAACGGTTTTACCATTGTGGTACCCCCACTTTGCCAGAAGGCATCGCGAATCCCGAAGAGGCGTATTGTATAGTTCATTCATTATAGTTATAGCGCATGCTTCGACCCATTCCAACATTGTTCGTCCAGAGTGAAACCTGACCAACATCAGCCAATATTACCAAACACAATGTTCAAACAGATCTGACAATATTGCATCCAACATATTGCATTCAAAAGTCTTTGTTATACAAATGAAAATGCCCTTTAGCATGGGGAATTAAATTCTTTGCATGGTAAGCTAAATTCGTCGCATAGCACCTTGCATACTAAGACGTTGTTCATATAGAGCCGGGCTTGCCCGGTTAACTGGAATGATTCATTTAATAAAGCTCTTATCACGCTTTGATAAACATCCAAAATGTTTATCAACTTGGTTTGATTCCAATATAAAGTTTATTCAAACGATCTTTTACGGTCAGGAAAAAAAATTCGTGACGGGTTCATCCCTGCTGGCCAGACTCGTATGAACAGCTCATAGGAACAGCTCCTAACAGTGCTATCCAGTCACGCTCCAGCGAACGGAATGTTCCATTGTCTTCTCATTGTTTTGATAATCTCATTGTTCTCCACACCATCCGCTCATTGATTGTTTCGACTAATTTTAGTATTTACAAAGGAGTAATTGGTTATATTTTCAGGTGCCTTCTCCATGTCTTTCTCCTTTAACTCAATTAGACAAAGTGGAAGGATTGTTTGGACTATCTGAAAGAATTATCGCCACTGAATCATTGTAAGTACAACGTATTCCAACCATGTATCGTATTTCACCTCGATCTACTCCCAATTTCATTCAGTCTTTCGACAATCATGCCACGTATACATTATTGGCCTGGCAGCCTGGGTAATTTAGATTGAAGGCAACACCGTAATTTTATATTAATTTTTCTGGTATCTTTGAGGAAGGGGTTATTGGAGAGGGCGGCTATTATTTATTTATATGCACGATACAATGTATGTTGAGCATTGGAAATATGATCAAAACACAGATGCTTTTGTACGTGTGAATAGGGGAGCTTAATAGAGAGAGAGGGGTGGCTTAATATATTTCACCTACAAAGGAGGCTTATTAGAGAGGGGACTTGTTTGAGCCCTCTCAATAAATAGAGGAGGCTTAATAGAGAAGGAGGCTTAATAGAGATGGAGCGAAATAAATTTTCGTGATGCTTTGGTTTACGAAAGAGCAACAACAACAATACTGTACAATAATGAATGATTGCTTATTTTCATTTTCAGAGTATTTTTAGCAAAGCAATTTGAATCCTTACAGCCTCATTTAGAATCACTTATTCCAATGGCTAAGAGGGCATTTCTCTCTCAGTTTTATTCTCAGGTAAGAATGTAAGTTTTCATTTGAGAGTAATTAGATTATTTTTACTTGCTTTGTCGTTACACCCGTTTTCAAAATAAAGCGACAGCTGAGATAGAGAGCTTTAGATTTTACTACAGTAACACTACGCGATGTGTTGTTTACGCATGCTCGCCATCTTCTTACGCCATTATGTACCCTCTACAATCTCGTATAGTAGATGCTTGTTTTACTATACAAGAGACTTTTTAAGTATCCCGCGTTGCCAATACGGAGAATACGGTGTATCCAAATAAACGAATCTTGTAGTCGTACTCGTAGTAAAATCTAAAACATTCTGTTATCTACATGCATGCAGGCTTTATGTTAATCCGAAATTCAAACTTCTTACAGCTAGTTATGTAACCATCAATTATTCTCAAGATTTTAGTGATAATTATTACAAAATTTAAGAAAAACAAAATATTATATAACCGCTATATAGTCCAGCGCAAGGGATTTTGGTACACAGTTACATTGTTCTTTTTCAAACTTTCAAAGTCATTCACAAAATAGATTAATGTTGTGAATTGTGATGGTTTGTTGTTTCTTTTTATTTTGTATAACGTTTAGCCTGCATAGCGGGAGGGGCGAGAAATAGGTATTAAATACGGTATTAAATTAAAACACGATATCAATAATATTAATGATGTGTACAAAGAGTTTAAAACGTTAAACGTATATTCCAGACTGTTTCTACGGCGCATGAATTGAGAAGACCAATATACCAAGCTGTTGCTGGCAGAGTGGTTGATTTCAACATGGTAATATCTTATTTTTCGATTTTATAAAGATAAATGTATTATAATTAGTGATTAGCAAGCAAAATCGGCTGGAGGTGCGCAAAGTAAAATACTACGTGTAACATATACTTGATTGCGTCATGACCGAGAAAGAAGAGTTTTTTGTGACGTCACAAAATGTAAAACTCTTCTCGGGCCATTGAGCCCTCACCTCAGCCCTACCTATGTCCGTATATTTATTGGCATGCAGTACTGTAGCAATAACAGAGAGCTTAAGGAAGCGACGTTTTTGATTCAGCCAGTCCGCTTACGAGAGGAATTCACCCCCCCCCCCCAACCCCCTGAACATGCACCATTTTGAATATTTTCAGAGGGGTTGAATGCCTCTCGTAAGCGCACTGGCTAGCAACATGGCGACAGCATTGTAACGGTTACACCAAAGTCATAGGCAAAACCAAGAAATCGGCCTTCTGTACAGTTCCTATTCTGTGTCGGTGTTGTCGTAAAGGCTTAAAAGCTTTCTAGTAACAGTAAGGACGCCAAAACCAGGAGGAGCAAGGGAGCTAAATGTGTTCTTTTCATTTAGGGAAATATTTTTATAAAATAACATGTATATAACGCGTGTTCTGATTGGTCAAAAGCCGTGTTTGGATCAGGCCATCCAAACACGGAAGACTATCGTGTTGTTGTTATTTTATAAAACAATTACTTTATGGTTTCCGTGTTTGGATGGACTGATCCAAACGCTTGGGAATGTTGCTCGAGTTAAGAAAAGCGGGCAAAATCACTCGCCTTCGGCTCGTGATTTCGCTCGCTTTTCTTAACTCTCGCAACATTCCCGCGTGTTTGGATCAGGCCATCCAAACACGGAAACCATAAAGTAATTGTATAGTTACAATTTTTAAATAATCATTACGTGAAAATATCGCACAGCTGAGCTATATAAATAATAAAGAAAATGGATTTACGTTGATCAAATATAGAAAAGCATGTAGGGAATAGTGTAGGGAATAGTGCGTGGAAAGTGTCTGATTAAGGTTTCGTTCCAAGCACATGCAGGTTTTTCTACAAATAAAAGTACGACTTTTTCAGTTAAATTTGGAAAATTTACTTGGTTTAGTTTGATCTTTTTACGAACATCCATCAATGGTAATTTTTAACATTAAAGTTCTAATTCAGGTAAAAATCCTTTGACACAGTACACCCCAGCTCCAGATACTTCTCAACATTCCTGAATATATATAAATTAAAACGTGGCCCTCTACGGCGTCTCTCAATAAACCAGAAGCCTATCAGTATAGTAGCCTGTGTACAGACTGTACAGTATGGCTATCAGTAGAGTTGCTTGCCTCCAACATGTGTTTCCAGTGTGACCAGGTTTAGTACATTTTATTACCAGATCCGGTTGGATGCCCTTAGACAACCCCACCTGCTTTAAACAACTGCAACATTAAGAACAGGAGGGGGCAGCCAACCAATTTTAAGCAGCTTTAGTAACTGTCTTGATTCAGATTATTTTCATTGAATCATATTTCATTTGGTTTAGATCATTAATTTCATGTCAAATGTGAAATGGGACATCAAGGAAATCATGTCAGAACACAATACATACGTAGATATGTTACTTAGAGTAAGTATACCACAAAAGGAAAGTTCCCCTAACTACTTCCACTAAAGCCTGAAATGTCATGCGTTCTTCCACATAAATTCCACATTAACAATTTCCTCATAATGACACAGAATGTTTAGTATACACTATATACACTTATGTGAAGTTTGGTATCATCCATGATTGAATGCCCATTTTAAAATTTACAAACGAAGCAAAGTATGTCTAAGCAGCCGTATTCACTACACGTATCAAATGCAGAATTATCGAATTTCCAAATGTTGCTTTGGATTGTCCACTACAAGTCCTTCTGCCGACGACGGACTTTCGCTCGAAACGTCGAAGTTTTACTTTAGGTAAATGATTTCCTCAATTTTCTGGTGCTTTTGTCACTACGTACTTTCAACAGTATAGTAATAACAAATGAATATTAAATTAATAGTACAATCATGTAGTTTTTGTATGACGTTGCAGGATGGTGTTCGGAAATGTGAGTGTTGACTGTCGTCCCCCCCCCCCCCCAAAAAAAAATAAATAAAACGAGTTTTAGACAAAAGGCATTCGCTCATATATTGTACACATGCCTCATATGAAAATATCTTTCTTTTTTAGGAATTGCAATTGTTTAGCATGAGGATCTCGCAAATTGGCAGGTAAAGCCAGTTAGGGTTTTATATACAAGTTATAAATTGTAACACATTTGTTACTAGCATACAGTATATTTTGCTAAAATGCTCCCGTATCTTGTCCCGCGGCAGTTGTATTTCACATAAGGTCACGCTTACGTTTTTTTGTAGTTTTGTATATGCTTCATATGTGCCCCTGATGATTTTACTCCATCGTCAAGGTTTGGACTTGCGCCTTATTTTGTGTAAACTTATTTAGATCAATTCCGATTCCTAATGAAGTGTTAACAATTTTATGGGATCATTGTACTCGCAGAGTAAACAGGTCCTTCGTTGAAGGGTAAGTTTCGCGGAGATTTAATATTTCATCTAATCATCCCTTCTAATTTCCGCTGCGTCGATAGCTTTAAGCCGGGATCAATTAAGCGACAAGGTTGAGAGTTGACAGTCACATGACCTTGGTTAGGTCTTCTTAATGCTTTCCAAACACTATCATGTATTGTATTTAAGTTGATACGTGGTTGGAACACTCATCAAACCTTTATTTTGTTGATCTTGAAATGTCCCCGTAACAATGCGTGCCTGCCAACTCTTATCAACTCTCATCCTCGTTTGACCAGGGCTTTAGGTCAGTTTTCCACTTCGAGCGTACCGTACCGAAACGTATCAAAAACATTTTTAAATTTCAAAATTTGGTGAATGTTGATTGGTTAATACTTCCGTAGACCGTAGTACGACAAAAACTTGATAACGCGAATACACCCGGAAGTACGTGATTTATTAACCTCTTTTCAATCTGCGTATGATCACAATACGTTTCGGTACGGTACGGTACGGTTGTAGTGGAAAACTGACTTTATAATGGATAGAGCGAACCTGAAGAACTCCGCTCATGGCAACAAATTTTTCGTTGTTCTCTGGAATATCAGAATTAAGACGAAAAGTTTTGATGATCCTGTAAGAGTTACCAATGAGGTTCTTACGAGATACAACCGTCAAAGTTCTTTGTTACATTTAGTTCCAGCAATTCTTGTTCCAAGCGCCTTCATGTTAATAGGAATTATATACCATCTATGATATTTTTGGACGAATTTAATTTATTGTATTTAGGTTTTCGTGTGCAAAGAAATGCAGCAACGAAGGAAGAGCTCTGATGCAATTGGATTTTCAACAGTTTCTAATAAAATTGGAAAAACTAACGTCTTTAAGGTGCTACATTAGTGCAGTATGTGCTGTTTAGTCTTTCTTTTGAGTGCGGTCTTTTCTCAGAAGACAGTACAGTGTCTAGCAATATTTTGTAGTCAAAATCCCGTTAGCCATCCCCTCAGGCACCTCTATCTGTAGCAGACAGCAGAATTGCGCAATATTCTATAGAGAGTGGTAACCCGGAAACGTGAGGTTAATAATTGATTGGTGCAAGTCATATTACCAGCACGCCCCCTCTCCTGCGTTCTTTATTAGGTTCCTCTTGACCTGCTCTCAATTGCCTGCGGAGGCTTATTGGTGGCCATGTTTCTCGTTAGTCGTTAGAGCTAAGAAACAATGAAACGTTGATCTGTGCATGCGCATACCAGTATTGTTTTTGTCTGCGCGATTAACACAAAGCTGTAAAGAGTGCGTCGAAACTTCGTGTTTTGACTTCGATCAAAAAAATGTATTTAGCGTGGGGAAGTTGATGCGAACTGTTTATGACTTTCATGTATTGGACGCCAACTTTCACTGAATTTCTTACTCCAGATATTGCATGTACTCGTAAAAATTTCTGACATCAAATGTGTTTGCAACAGGTTTGCCATCAAACTATGTCAATTTCGGTATCAACAGCAATGCTGTACTTCAAGAAGCCGAAACCAAGCAGTACAGACAGTGGGCATGGTGCGAACGCAACCCCTTCATTCATTCTACATTTTTTACTCCTTCCAGGCCTATTCCAGAGAAAGAATTTGTTGAAGCATACGTCAAAGCTTATTACTTAACGGAACCAGATATGGAAAGATGGATCCGAGAACACAAGGTTAATTTTAATCTGTTGTGCATCTGTCAATGTCACGTGCCATAGTGCGTGTCATAACATGTTGCATCATTGCATTATCAGATAAGGAATGGTAATGTGTGGGTGGATGGACGTGGTCCACCGACCCCTGTGCTTTACAGTAAGTACTTTATCTCAAAGACTAAGTACACCTTTAATCTTGAGTTAGTACAATTCAGCTCACGTACGCAACAATAATGATTATAGAGTCCCAGTGAGTTACAGATAAAAATTGCACCCTGCATGGTAATGACGTAATAATATATTCGTCTTCTTTTTGTCACAGGAATATTCAACGAAGCAACTCACCAGTCTAGTTAACTGTGGCACAGGTTCACACTTCAGTAAGAAAGCCAAGCAACGTTTATTAATTGTTATAGAAGAGACCGAGAGATTAAGAACTCGATGATATGCATCAACATACCTGTAAGTCAAGGCATACTGAGACGGTCTCAAATTTTTGTAATTCAAAATCCGCGCTCAATTCAGCGGTCTATACAGGACACGAGGGAAATTTCGCTCCAAAGTAGTTTTAAATTTTTTTATGAATTTCAACAATTTTAGATTTTATATACATTAGCATGTGATCTTTGTAGTCAAATTTTCCTCGTTTAATTTAATACCGGCAATACTGCGAATGTTCCATTGGATATGAACGAGTACAATTTTTTATAGCAGCCAGTGCATCCAAGCTTTTAGATGCTTTGTTATACTGTAAATTAATCCTGTTTGAAGTTGTAGTGTTCAATACTATATATAATAGTAATAAAACCAAAATTGTTTCCTATGTTCGGGAACTATACAATGTAAAATTCAATTCAGTTAGTATATTTAAAAATTTAGGAAAATTAACGAAATTTAAAGTGAAACTAAAAGAGTCACCAGAAAGTTGTGGGTTTTTTCCTGTTATTTATATTTCCTCCCACAGGGAATTCTGGCGGGGTTGGGTTTGGAAATAGGAGTTTACGATCTACGACGTGGCCGGCTCGACGACGCGCTTTCAAAACAAAGAAATTTGGTGTTTCCACAAACAATAGTATTATATGTTTTATCGCCATGCAAACCTACAAAGAACTTACAAAGAAATTTGTCATGCAAGACAAAAACTGTCAATAATTTGTGCTCCCAGGAGTATTGTCAACCGCGTTGTCATTCTCAACACAACGTTAAACAAGCATTATTACGTCTTTCGGGCGGCGCGAAATCTTAATGCGACACAAGAGGTGTTACTTAAAGTCGAAATTACAGTAAACATTGCATCGCTTCAGCCGAACGTAGCAGTTTGTAAGGTCATTTGAAAAAGCGTCAAATATTTATTACAGTAATCAAACCGCGTCGTTGAGGTGGCCGCGTCGTAGATCGTAAACTCCCTAATATCTCAAATTAACTTCTTCCATTGCTGTTGTGCTCCACGTTTAGACCCAAGTAGTACGTTACAAGGATCAAATTAGAGGTTCAGATTTGACTTCCGCTGCCATTATCACTGCCTTCTCATCTGATTGGTTAATCGAATATATATAACATATCTGATTGGTTATTAATGGTCCCTTAAAGGCTCGTTTTCAATAGTTGGCGACGCTCGGCGATGTCCTGCCTATCGTAATTCATCGGTGATTGTCGCAATAATTATTCAATAAATCAAAAAAAGCTGTTTTGTTGCGACAGTCGGCGGTTGTTGCAGACACTGCGATAATAAAACAAATGAAAACACTATTCTGAAAAAACTAAATTCTGATGTTAATTAACTGCAGACAGACACGATATAGTAATTATGTCACGTGGAGTGACTCTATCGCCCGTATTCTAAAAGCTCACTCACACTCAATGAGTGGAGGTTCAATCTGAGCTTCTCTTGAGTGTCCATGCTGTTCTTGAATAGTTGGAGGGTGAGTAGTCATCGAGTAAGGTATGACACTATAGCCTTCCAGCTATTCAAAAACAGCATTAACACTCAAGAGAAGCTCAGATTGAACCTCCACTCATTGAGTGTGAGAGTGAGTGAGCTTTTAGAATACGGGCGTATATCTGATAAAGCATGCGGCATTATATAATTGTTCATCCTAATTAGTATGATTATATAATGTTCATCCTAATTAGTACTTAAATTTTATTTGCCCCAAATATAAACGTGAAACTGAAGGTGGTCGCACCTCTGCAGTCACTACAACAAAAGAATGGAACTGACTAGTGGTATGAATGGGCTTTGTCACCGCATTTTTGATTGGTTGATCGGATCATAAACAATTAAGACAATGAACTGTAGAAACTATCTTTCTAAAGAACGAGTCATAAGACATAAACACTGATCGCTATTGCTTTATGAAGCCAATCACAAAATACGATCATGTTAGGTTGGTGTTTACTCGCAATAACATCAGAGGTGAAGTCGATATTTTTGTAGACAAAGGAGTAAGTGGTCAATCATTTCGGCCTATCAGCTTTATCTAAATCACGACCCTATCAGCTTTAGCTGGATCTTTCAATCGTGATTAAAGAAGTGCTTCAATCAATCAATTTGGGCATCCAGACTGACAAATTTGTTGAAATGTTTCTTTCTTTTCAGCACTTTTACTCACCAATACTTTTCTTTCGTGAATCCTCGAGTGGTATGGAGAACATACACGAGGCAAAATGAACAATTTACACGAGCCCGGGTCAAACCAACCCAGGTTTTAATGACTATAGGCTGTGAGCAGTCGCGCCTTAGAAGGAAAGGAGGGACTACAGACATCAAGAAACGAAATACGCACCGCCTTTAATTAGCTCCAATATAATTATTTTGGCGTTGTAAACAAGTAACTATATTTATAGCGCGTATCGTAGTGTTTAAAAGTAAAAATTGAAGTTTACATGCAGTAAAACGACGACGTTTACGTTTTACAAGCAAAAATACATAGTATTACCAGGGACGGCGCTAGAAGTGGGGGGGGGAGGGGGAGGGGGTGAATGTTGCCGAGTAATCAAGGGAAATTGTACCGCGTCACTACAACCACTAATTGATATTTCTTTTCCCAAAATTGCTGGCGAGCGGGGAGAAGGGGGAATATTTCTTTCCCGACTATGTGTTTTTTGTTTTGTTAAATTTTGCCAATCATGAAATTACAACGCATACTTGATTTACATTATAAGTACTTCTTTATAGGTGTCTGTCGAGTCATAGTCTTTCAAAACATGGTTTGAAAACTCCTCTAAAGTCTTTGTTCTATCTTTTGTTCACGTTTATGCAGTTTTGTGCACGGTGCACGGTCAATGAACGCATTGTATTTCAGTATAATGAACGAATCATCCAATAGCAACGTTTCAGTTCAGTCATTCGACTCATTCAACCATGCTATTGATTATTATTATTATTAATCAATCTTTATACAGGATAAAAACATCAGTGTTTACAAATATATGAAATATAAAATGCAACTCTGCTATCCTGGTTTGTCCTGTTTTTGACTGAAACTGCCTAAAAAGTTAATAAAAAGAAACTATGCTTTTGATGTTACTCTGAGTATATATCCGAACCTACGATTTTTGGGTCGTAGGTCCAAAGGTCGTAGGTTCGATTCCCACCGTGGCCAGGCATATTTTTCAAGCCTGCCCGGTGTGGATATACACTCAGAGTATAACATCACAAGCATCTTATCCACCTGAGTATATTACACCAACACAGCAAATATCATGATTATTAGATTACATTAAGGGACCGGTCATTATTTATGGCGGGGGGTGGCACCGAAGAGAAAAGGGTTGGGTAAACAAAATTTTGACCTTAAAATGGAACTTCCATGTATCAGAAACAACCAAGAAGGCTGCACCTCGTTTCTATTTCTTGAGACAACTCAAAAGAGCAGCCATTCCAACTAAGGAACTTCTGAAATTTTATACTACCTGTATTCGCCCGATCTTTGAATATGCATGCCCAGTTTATCACAACTCGCTACCCAAGTACCTATCAGACGACATTGAAAGGCTGCAGAAGAGAGCTCTAAGAATAATCTACCCTTGGATGCCTTACACTGATTCCCTCGAAGAAAGCGGTCTGCCTCGCTTCTTCGAACGCAGGCAGCTCTTGACGTGCAAATTGTTTAATGAGATCACTCGAGATCAATCCCACAAACTCAGACCTCTACTACCATCCGAAAATAACTGTTCATACCAACTGAGACGTAAAAGGCAACTTAACGTTCTAAGGGCCAAAACTGATCGGTTTATGAATTCTTTTATTGTTAGTAATTGTAAATATTGTTAATCATTAGGTTTCTTAAATTTTTATAATTGTAAAGTTTTAACACAATTCAGCCATTATCAGCTGTAAAGTCTTTTAAAACTGAATAAATCATCTATCTACCTATCTAAAAGGTTGGGTAAATGAAAAACGAAACGACTCAAAGGTTGGGTAATAAAAATTTATTGTCATTTCCAAAGCATGACTCGCTCAAATATTGAAGACTGAAAACTTCAATGTCAACAGTCATATGTCAATACAATATGTGAATCAATCTATATCTTCATCATTTTCCGATTTGTTGGCAGACAAATGGTGTCTCCAAAGAAAGTGAATGTGCAGACAACATGAAACTTTAGACTGCAGAAAAGTCAGGAAATTTCACAAGCCGAACGTTATCAAACTATCAAACATTCACAAGCCGAACGTTATCAAACGTATCACAGAAGTGGTAAAGGACTTGTGTCATGTGTGACAACTGAATGACATCCTTTTGTAACGTTTTTGGCCAGGGGTGGGTATTTATTTTTCAAATGATACTTGAGGTTGGGTAATCAATTTTTTGATTTTTTAATGGTTGGGCCAGCAGAATTTTTGCTACGAAAAACATTTCTCTTCGGTGCCACCCCCCACCCCCCCTCCCCCACCATAAATAATGACCGGTCCCTAATATCGAAGGAACTAGACTCAGTTCCGAAAT